GTTCCACCGCTACGACTGGAGATATATCGAGATTTGCTCACCATGAGCCTTATGAAGCAAAAGAGTTAACAGTAACAACAGAACAACAGTGGGGCTCCCCAAACAACAGTTTCTAACGTTAGGCCGACTGAACAACAGTAAGGAAGGCCTGGCCAGTGACCCACGACGATCACTTAGTGTCTCCACAGTGCGGGTAATACCCGAAAATACCCGGGAAACCCCATAAGCTCCTCTGAAAGTGGGGCGCACTTCAGAGGCAGACTTACGTCAGTCAGTGCGCGTCGCCAGTACCTTCTCTCTCTCCTCGTCGAACCCACCACCGTCCCCTTTCTCCTCCCATGGCATCTGTCTAGTGTGTGCCTGCTGGGGGAGCAGACGGCTTCGTTACGAAGCTGCCCCCAGCAGGCGTCTTGACGGGTATCAAAATTCTTCCCTACAATGTACAAAGAGGCCAACGGACCCGAGAAAATTTTCAGCGCTGGTGTACCTGTGTTAGAGAGAGAGATTTTAGAAAACCAACAAGAAATTCTTCTTCTTCTGTGTTAGTGCCAGTGCGCGCCAGTCCCGTGCCTAGTAAAGAAAGAAAGAAAACAGAGAAGACAAACGAGGGATAGGGGAGGAGGACAGGGTCCCCACCTGGACCTGCACGTAAAGCACGAGCAGGATTTTGGAAGGACGATCAGGGGGATGACAGGTGGGGTCCCGTGCCTAGTAAAGAAAGAATTTTACAACAAAAGGCGGTCGCACGACACGAAAGAAAGAAAACAGAGAACCCAAGGGAGGGATGGGAGGACGGCCTAGTAAAGAAAGAAAGAAAACAGACTATTCAAGGGAGGGATGTGAGGACGGCACGCCGCCACCACACAGGGATTTTAAGGACGGCCAAGTAAAAAGAAAGGAAACAGGCAACCCAAAGGAGGGATGAGAGGGCGGCTAGTAAAGAAAGAAAGAAAACAGACAACCCAAGGGAGGGATGGGAGGACGGCACGCCGCCAGCACACCGGGATTTTAATTTGGCGCTCAAATTCTTTCACGCTCGCGCTCAGCGTCGAACGTTGCTCGTCGGAGCACTGTTGCTGACACGAGCTTGAGCCGGATGCGCCGCGGCCCGAGTCCTGAGAATCACGCGAAGAACCAGCTCGGCGAGGGCGGGCCCGTGCTCACCGACAAGGGCCAGCTCGCCTTTGAGGTCGAGCGCATCCTCGACGTGCGGCAGCGGCGGGGTGGGCGCGAGTTCCTCGTCCGGTGGGTCGGCTACGCGCCGGAGGACGACTCTTGGGAGCCTGACAAGAGCTTCCTCGACCGCGCGCCCATCGAAGCCTTCCAGGCGCTGCGGCCGAGTCTGCTCGGCAACGCCGGTGCGTGGCGGAGGGAGCAGCAGCTCGGCGAGGCTCACCAGGCCGAGGTGCCGCCCTGCCTGCCGCCGCCGCCTCGACAGACACGGCACACGGCCGCGGCGGCTGTGCCCGTCGAGAATCCGTCGGCGGAGCCGCGTGTGCCCACCTCGCGAGCGGACATTGCCGAGCAGCTCGCGGAGAGCGCTCGCCAAACCGCGGCGCTGCTCACGGCGGTCGCCTTCGGGCGCGGTCGCCTCGCCACGGCTGCGTTGCGTCGGGGAGGGAAGTGACGCGCACCCTCCGCGAGTAGGCCGATATCTCCCTTCTGCTACGTCGCCCCCACCGACTGCGGCCTCGGCCTCATCGCTCGGAGAGACCTCACTGCCGGACTGCCGATCTGCGAGTACTCTGGACCGGTGCTGCCCTTCGCGTGGATGCGGCAGAGCGGCTACAACCTCGGCATCCCTCCCGGCAGCGGCGGCGTCGGCAGCGGCGAGCAGCGCTTCTTCTC